ACCTCCATTCGACTCCATATTTTAAAACCAAAATGATCATATGTGTTTCTGCTTGTAAATAATCATATGTAGTGCATTAGAAACTGCATTTTTGCACAAACTAGAGAATATTCCATGGAACGTAGAAGATTTTGTTGAATTGACACCATAAAGCGTAGACATATAAGTAGATTTACAATTGAGGGAGGTGGTTGTAATTACCTAAACATGAGGGATTTTTTCATAATCTGACGTTACTTTAAAGGTGGCCATAACTCACCATTTTTTAAATGAATTTATAATTATGTGTTCTCGTATTTTTTTTTGAATTTAAGCAATACAAAACTTGAACTCGTTCAAGTTTCGTTATTGAAATTAACTAGGGGTAATTCGGTAAAAGAATGCAATATATAGCAAGGACCAAAAGGGCAATGTCTACGAGGCATGCGTCTTGGACCTCCAATTTTTAGTGGTCAACAAAAAAACCCAATAGTATTATTGATACGAATTTGTAAGCCCAACCCAATAAATTTACATCAATATAATCTAAATAAATCCAAATATACTATTTTATTTGTTTCTTTAATTAATCGAATTATTTAAGTTTTATATATGCCTATTTATATAATATTTAACAATTCAAAAGTGAATCCTCTGCACTAGAAGAATAGAGTGAAGAAAGATAAACTTGCTGCTATACTTTGTTTCTTACACAAGCAAATTATAAAATTAATTATATGTTTATTCTATAATATTATTGTTCTTATAATAAAATAAAGTAAAATAAAATAAAATGATAGATGAAAAGTAAAACAAACGTATGCACGCGTGTGGTGTCACACTTAAACCAAAAATAATCTAAGGGTCCATTTGGATGGAGGGATTTGGGGAGGGATTTGATTTGGGGAATGGATTTGAAATGACTCCAATTTTGAAGTCATTTGAAATCCATCACTATTGCTCCAAAATCAACTAAAAAGGAGGGGTGGGGATTTGAAATCCATCTCCAAATCCCTCAATCCAAACAAGTCCGAGGGATTTGTTATTATGGATTTGAAATCCCTCCCCCAAATCCCTCCATCCAAATGCACCCTAAAGTTTACAAATATCAAGATCCTCGTTCATGGTGTTTCATGATGGGGAAAATTTCTACAATCTATCTTATTTAATTTTTTTAACAACCTAAAGCTCTACATTTTTCGATTCAAAAGATGTTTATGGCAAATTACGGTCACCCCCTAAAGTCAAGGTCAAATCACGAGAAAAAATTTCTCTTGTTTGGGTAATAACATATTCACCTTTATAGTTTCAAATTTACTTATTGAATGAGGAGTTTTTTCGTATAAAATACATAATTCAGGGGTACTTGTAATTACACAAACATGAGAAGAGTTTTTCGTTATTTGATTTACCTC